AAAAAATTATCGATGAGTCTGAGTGTCAGCCTTCTCATTGAACGTGCTTTTTTATTTTTCAATGTTTATGTTCATGATAGTGCGTTACTTTTTTGTTGTTATTATTAACTATTTTTAAATCATACGTGACATGCCGTTGTGGCTGGATAAAAGTTTGTGTTTATTTTTCAAACACCATCATTTGATAGGTAGGAATGTAGCTATGAACAAGTACGTACTAGAAATATTAGTTATTTTGTTATTAGTTTATTATTAGTACCTATGTATCATGTATTACCAGTTATAGTAAAATAAATACAAATAATGATAAATTAACTGTGGATTATTTCATTTACGTTGCGTTACGTGGCTTCCTTGTGGGTAGCTCGCTGTTTATTCCAAAATTAACAAAGTAGCTCAACACATTGAAGAGGTTGGCGACCACTGGTCTAGCCCGTTGCTGAAGCGGATCAATGGTTGAAGATGGAGTCACTGATCAAACAGATGTTTTCACAAATGGGCTAATGATTATTTTTATTTTCTGATGCAGCACACTGTTGGTTTCGTACTAGATTTGGGAGTATTTCCTCTCGATAAGGGTGAATCAACAAAAACCATCTTATGGTGTCCGACAACTTTAGTTCTTTTAGTTTGAGAAGCAGTTCATCAAATGGAAAGCTATCCGAAAATATATGAAGAATTGGCGTGGATCTTCTCACACATTTCAGTTATGAATAGACTGACTATGATAATAATTATACAATTTCGCAATTTACTATAAACCAACTCATACAGACAACTTTGAACAACTATTCTAATCACACAAAGCAACATAAATTTGCAGCTTACCATAGTATGATCCATAGAATAATTAACATATCCATGTCCAGGGAGAATTTTAATAAGGAATAAAATCTGATAAAACAAATTCTAGTAAATTCAGAACTTTAGGCCCTTTCAAGTAGAAGTTTACTATTACTAAGACCCTCCAAATCTTTGGCTACGAAAATGCCTGGTATATAACCAAGACTATGTTTTTTTTGATCAGTAATGATCATCGGTCGGGTTTCAGAATCACACTCTTTTATCCCAAATGTTGTGAATGTTTGTTTCTCTTTCAGATATTTACTCAAAACATTTCATAACGTGACAATAAAAGATAATAGTCTTGGCAAATTCGTTTACAAGTAAAGTAATAGTCAAATAATTCCACGTGGAATCTATGTTTGCGAGTTATTCTTGTGTGATATGGAGACAAAAAAAACCGTATCTCAATCAAAACCAAAACATGGCTCAGTTTTGCATTCGGTTCAGAATTTAAAGAGAAAATAAATGATGATTAAAGATGTTTATGAATGGGTCAGGAATCAAATAACTGAAGAGAAATGTGACTGGTTTGAACAAAGGAATGAATAAAATCATTGAGAAAATAAATAATGAATACTATTGACTATCTATCCTTGATAGATAGACATATGCCATCGCGTACTTTTTTGTAGGCCTATAAAAAAAAAGATACGTAGTGAATTGTTTTGTTGAATCGTTTTAGATGAATAATATCGTCATATTTCACCCAATTCAGAAAAAAATTAATGAATTGATAGTAGCTCCATCTGTGTGTTAGTCAGCCTACAAACTTTTCAGCTCACCTTATATATACATAAACCTCCTCTTCAATAACTTGAAAAAAAATTAGAATCGGATATAATGAGCTTTCGGAATTTCACCTCGACTCAACCTTTCCCACTAATAATATTCTTGGATCTGATAAATAAACTGCTGCTTAAATTCATTTTCTGAACCATGGATTAAGACCTAGGTTATGGAGTAAGAAATCATCAAAACAATTTGGAGATGGTCCAATATTTGTTGGTGTGTTTCCGAGAAAATATTGCCTTTCTGGTCAATAAATTTGCTCTCGCGTTGTCTAAGGTCTGGATGAGTTATTTATACTTTTACTTTAGTGCCTGTGACATTGAAATTTAGTTTTAGTACAGTGAACAACGGATTATTGATTTACAAAATAAAAACTGCCAAGTTTCGAAAAATAAAATGGCTGTATAGCTGAATTTCACTGATAAAAAGTGGTTTTCTGTGCAATGTGCATCTAACAAAAATGTCCATTGATCTAATAAACTGATGAGTCGCTAATGAGCCCGAAACCGGTCTGCAAGTGTGCCCGTTCCAAAATTGAAGGTCGACTCATTCAGTTGTATTGCCAATTGCATATGCAGGAAATTTTCTGTGAAGATTCCTGCACTGACGCCTGTCGGATATAATCCAAAGCCCTTCGTGGTATTAGCCAGGGGAGTAGTTATTTTCTGATAGGCTCAGTCCATTCAACCTACTGTGTAGGTATATTCAAGACTGGCTTGAACGATTAAAGTTCATTTCTTCAGATTTGTTTACTGCCAGTCTTCCAGCATAGACCACTAACTAATAAGAAAGATCTAATAAATGACAAGGATGGCATGTTGCTTGTGAAAATACTATACCAAATTCAGCTATCCCATTGGTATTCACAATTTTGGGAATTTCGGATTCTTAATCGCACAATTTTTAAATTTACCCAATCCTAAAAATTGCACAGGTCATAGCATTCGTCGAATTTCAGCTATTCAATATTGTATAAGGGGTACCTATTGATTGACTGACACCCTTATATCAACGTACAGCCGAATGCAGGTAGGTTCTTTGTATAGCATAAATAATAATAATAATCGTTTATTATGCATGAAAAAATACATTTATACATAAAAGGAAAAGGATTAGCCAAAGGCTCTCTTCCACCCCTCCCAAAAATTATGCAGTGAGTGTAATAAAATAAATATAAAAATACTTATTTACTATCATAACTCTGATAGAGAAGAGAAAAAGTAATACATCATATGTAATTTCATCACACTACCATACATTTAATTTTAAATTTTTTAAATTAGCACTGAGCAGTAAGTATCTGTGATTTTATTTCTTTCTTGGTTTTATGAATATTTTATCCCTTTAGGTAAAATTTCATTCAGATAAGGAGGAGCTATATAAGAAAAACATCCTTGAAATTTGAAAGTACGGTGCCTAGGTATGTTGAATGAGTCAATTCTCAAATTGACCATATGTATGTCAGAATGCTTGCTTGATAAACTATATAAATAACTAGGTGTTTTATTTTGAAGCAACTTCAACAAAAAAACTTTTATCAAATATTGGACTCTGTACCTCACATTCACCTCCTTCATTCTTAACAAAAATGGTGTGACATGTTCACCATATGGTATACAGCATACGAATCGCATGCAAGCATTTTGTATACAAAGAGCTATCTATGTTTACGCCAAGACTTTTAGCACTGTCTACCCAGTCAATGTCTGCGTTATCGAGAGTCAGCCTAAAGTTACCCTGAGTTTCTACTATTTGTGTTTGAGACCCTATGCATTAAGCCAAAGTTTTATTTGGATTGATTTTCAGTCCATGATTCACCGAGCCTAGAAATGTTTTGTGCAAATCTGTGTTTATATTGGCCACGCAACTTTCTGTATCGGTGTTATGAGAAAACAAATATAACTGTATATCATCTGCGTATAGATGTACTTGACAATGTGATAAGAACGTGGGGTAATCAAAAATAAACACTGGAAACATCAAGGGTCCTAGAATACTTCCCTGCGGTACACCAGACATTGTTTCTTTTAGGGATGACCATGAGTAATCATCCAGTTTGACCCTCTGTGATCGGCCTGTCATCGAATCCTATGAACTTGAGCTTGCTGATGAGTAAATCGAAATTAACTAAATCGAAAGCTTTACTTTGATCAAGCAGTAATGAAATGGTAACTTTTGATTGATCTCTGAATCTCGCTAGATCGTCGATTTCTTTCAAGAGGGCAGTCTGTGTTCCGTGTTTTTTGC